GGGAGGCAGCCTGGAGGGACAGCTTGGCTGCCATTCCCCATTCTGCTTTGCCTCGCTGGAAGCTGCGGGCTGCATGCCATCGAGGGGCACTGAGGCGTGAGGTCAGAGGGTGAGGGGGGCGGCTGTGGAGGCACAACGCCCCTCCGCCCCTCACCGCCAGCGGAGCGGAGCCGAGCAGCACCTGGGCCCTGGCAGGGCTGGCCTGCAGCTCCAGGCACCAGCGAGGACAAGGGAGATTGAATGGCAGACTCCTGCTGGTGCAAGGTGTCTGCACATTACACAGTTTGGATTTAAAAACTGGCGGAATGATGAAATCTCTGTGGATCTGTCAGCTTTGCTTACCTGAAACCTTTCAAAGCTTTGAGAATGGCCCACTCCACCCTGCAAACGATAGGAGTCTCTTTCTCTTGATGATTCCTCCACTTCCCCGCCACTTGTGCCCAAGACAGTGACACTGCCTGCCCCTAACGTTGCTTCCTTGGGGCAGCACCAACAGTTCTCCCCGCGGGCAGCCCCCTTGCTGTGGTTTATGGGCTTGCTAACACGCCTCCTCCACCCACGCCCGCCCCCTACCCCAAACCACAGCTCAGCCATCCCCACACAGTCCTTGTATCCTATTCCTACTGTGCTCAGACTTCTTCAATAGTTCTCCATCATCACCAGATAAAACCCAAACTCCTTACTCAGTCATTCAAGGCTTTCAGAATCTGCCCTTAGCATCCTCCTCTTCTGCAGCTAGAATTTGCCAGGCACTTCTTATCGCAGGTACTGTTGCAGGTTCTTCGGTGTAAAATTTTTTTAAAGATATTTTAAAAATTCTTTATATGTTTATATATTGTTGAGAGAGAGGGAGAACATAGGTGGTGGAGGGGCAGAGAGAAAGAGAGAGAGGGAGACACGAATCTGAAGCAGTCTCTAGGTTCCAAGCTGTCAGCACAGAGCCCAAAGTGGGGCTCGAACCCATGAACCACGAGATTGTGATCTGAGCTGAAGTTGGACACTTAACCGACTGAGCCACCCAGGCACCCCAAGATTTTATTGTTTTAAAGTAATATCTACACCCAGTGTGGGGCTCAAATTCACAACCCGAGATCAAGAGTTGCACACTCCACTGACTGAACCAAGCCAGGCGCCCCTTCAGTGTAAATGTCTTCTTTCATCCAGGCTCTTCTTTAAAAATTTTTTTAATGTTTTATTTATTTCTTGGAGAGAGAGAGAGACAGAGACAGAGAGAGAGGCAGCGTGAACAGGGGAGGGTTGGAGAGAGAGGGAGATACAGAATCCGAAGCAGGCTCCAGGCTGTGAGCTAGCTGTCAACACAGAGCCCAACACGGGGCTTGAACCCATGAACCCTGAGAGCATGACTTGAGCCGAGGTTGGACACTTAACCGACTGAACCACCCAGGCGCCCCAATCCAGGCTCTTCTTCACGGTCCTTCAAACATACCTCATCCATTCTTCTACCTGCTCTTGTTCTTAGGCTACTCTTCCCATCTAGAATAGTGATATCAAATTCTCCGTGAAACTCTGCTCAACCCATTCTAGCTCCCTGAGATCTCTTTCCTGAAATCCTCCAACTCTTCTAGTTGGATTCTCTCATCAACATTTAGTTATAAATTGCCTTGTATGGTGGCCATTTTTCGAGTGTGTTTGTCTTCAAAATGGATAACTGTCTAGATGGCAGGGACCAGCCTGAGGCTTTCTGGTGTCAAAGCATCATTCTCTCCTAAGAGCCAGTCTTCAGTGTTTGTTAAGTGAATATTGAAATACAGCACACATCTTCTACTCCTGAGCTGAATGAAGAGGCTTATTCTTTGGAACCCATGTAAAAGCCAATTCAACAACATCTGAATTCATGTGTTTAAGTGATTAGGTGTGGAATTAGTCCTAGTCTTAAATCCCCAGTGGGAAGCAGAGATAAACTTGAGCTTTATTGTATCAGCCCCTTAAAGATTCCTCCCTCTTGCCCTTGAAGAGCTGAAAGCATATAGGGCACCACAAACTGGATCTTAATTACAGTCAAATCCTCCCTGGCATAGGCTGGCCATAAAGGTAGAGACCCTACTTGCTGCCTGATAACAGCTTTGCTGGCCCTGCAGATCAGAAAAAGGGAATTTGCTTCTTATGGGAAGCCATTCAGGGGGCCAAGCCAATTGGTATGGGCAGAAGGTTTACTGTTCTCATGAGGTTGCATCTGGACCTGGTGTTCATTTAGGAGTTTTTAATTGATTAGCCCACCAACTATAATACTCCCTGGAGCCAACTGAGTGAGCTAAGCAATAAGCCTAGGGGACAAAGTTGAGGGACAAAGTTGAAGCCTTAGAAATTAACTAGGCGTGGGATGATCCTGGGATATCCCCAGGAAACTTACTCCCAGAGATGTCCTGCTGCTGTTGCGTTGAGGGCAGACAGGATCTTTCCAAACTGGCTATTCCGTTCCTTCTAACGGAAGTTTCTAACCAGGTCGCTTACGAGCAGCCGGTTGGCTATATATGACTCACAGACACATTTTGCCTGGCCTGTACTTTCTTTTTTTTCTTTCAACATTTGAGTTTGTTGCTAACACTTAAAAATTAGATTTCCCATAAAAACCTGGACTTCAGATTTCTGTTGACAATAGGCACCTGTGCCCTTTTTCTTACAGGGAGATCTTTAAATGGGATATTCACTCCTCCCAGGCAGATACGCTCACTTTTTTTGTTTTAACTTTTTTAAAATTTATTTCTGAGAGAGAGGGAGACAGTGTGAGCAGGGGAGGGTCAGAGAGGGAGACACAGAATCCGAAGCAGCCTCCAGGCTCTGGGCTAGCTGTCAGCACAGAGCCTGACACGGGGTTCGAACCCACGAATCACGAGATCATGACCTGAGCCGAAGTCGGACGCCCAACTGACTGAGCCACCCAGGCACCCCGATATGCTCACTTTTGTCCCCACCCAGCCCCTGCTTGTTTTCCCTGATCTAAAATATTGCAGGTTGCAAATTGGGGTGGCAGGTAGGATCAGATAGCTCTTCTAGTCTCTGGCAACTGCAGGCTCTGTAATGATGCCCCTGAATGTGGAGGAGATGGCCTGGGGCTCTGGGGGTCCATAATGCATTTGAGACAAGGCATTTTTGTTTTCATTAACACTGATCTCTGAATTTCTGGTCACTGAGTATCACATCCTGCAGGAATGAGCTTGTAGAATCCATAACATTTGCAAACAGATGCTCTTCTCTGGTGGAGGATAAATGGAGTTAACTTTCACTGAGCACCTGCTTTCAGCCAGTCTCTTCAATTTTGTAACAACCCTATTAAGTAGATATTCAATCCCATTTCTGGGAGGAATACACTGAGGACTCCAAAGCCTTCCTCTTAACCAGAGGCTCCACCTGCACAGTATTAGCTCTTCTTAGGTCCTGTCTCAAGTTTCAAAATACATTCCCATTGTGGATTCAATACTAGTTTTTGGGGTTCCCCCCCGTGTTTAATTATTTATTTTGAGAGAGAGAGTCAGGGGAGGGACAGAAAGAGAGACGGGGTGGGGGGAGAGGGACAATCCCAAGCAGGCTCAGTGCTGTCAGCACAGAGCCCGCTGCAGGGCTGAATCTCATGGATCATGAGATCACGACCTGAGCCGAAATGGAGTCCAGTGGTTACCAGACTGAGCTACCCAGGCGCCCCTTACTAGTTTTTAAAACACACACAAAAAAGAGTATTTAAACCATGTAGCATATTAGTGATGATTTTCTCAAGAGCCAAAGTGTGAAACGATGGGCTTTCTGTAATGGGAGATGGGAGTGGGTGGAGTAGGTGTCTTTGCCAGGGGTCTCTGTTTGCTGGGGGGACCCAGCAATGAGCTCTGTGGCCTAGAGCCTAGGGTGGGCAGGCAAGTCCCTGAGCCCCTAAGATTTCTGAGAAGAGCAGCTTGCAGACCGCGACTCAGATTCCTATGAATGTGGTGCAGCTTGGGAAGAGGGGATGAAATGATCTCGGGTGTGTTTGGAGGACACGTAAATTCATTGTTTACTAGTCTTTAATTATAATTTCTCTTCAAGTTTTCCGGAGATTTAGAAATAGGGTTCTAATTTAGCTGGTTCTAAATTTCCTCTGCTAAAAACTCCCCCCCCCCGACCTCCCCCCATCTCATCCAAGTCCAGCACCTGAAAACCACTGGCTATAAGGTCAGTTGGGAATTTTAGGAGGTTATGGACGTCGGAAATAAAGGTGTAAAAAAAGGGGAGGAGGAATTGGTTTTGGCTTTAAGACACCGGAACTTCCAAGGTTCCTGCAAAACCATTTGGAGCTTTTGCAAACCCTTAAAGTCATCAGCGCCTCACTGCGGAATCCAAAGCTAAGCTTGTCACAATTGTTAACACCTTCTTTGAACAGTCTTTTTATATTTGACAATTATTCTCTTCTGCGCCTCTTTTTTTTTTTTTTTTTTTTTTTTGCCGGCAGAAAGGTTCATCTGTCTTGGTTTTAGGGAGTACCCTATACAGCGAACAACCCCTCCGCGTGCCGCAGTCGGGGGAAGATTTCCGTTACCTCCGTCGTTTTGCAGAGTGAGTAGATTTTGAGGCTTTAGAAAGCGGGGCGCGGGGGGAGGGGGGCCGGAGAGTTAACAGTTTTGGAAGTCCCTAGGGGTTATATTGAAAGTTAACGCTTCAGGTTCTAGGTTGAGCACAATGACCGCCGCCTCCTGGGCAGCTGGCCCCGAGGCGAGCGCGGAGGAGCTCGGCCTCTGGCCGCCTTGGGGAAACCCACCTTCCCAGGGCGCAGAGACCGAACCTGGAGCCTCGTGCACGCGGGACCCCGCGGACCGCCGAGCACCGGCCGCGTGTAGCCCTCCGCTGCTGAGCTAAGAAGGGGGTGCTCCTCGCGGCCCTCGGGGGGAGCCCTCCCACTCTTCCCAACTTTCCCGGCCCTGGGGCGGGAGGAGGGCGCCTCTCCCGGCGGATGCGCGCTCGGTACTTAAAGGCGGCTCCGTGGGGCCGGCGCTCGTCAGTCGGAGCGCGCGGCGGCGGCAGTGCACCGGGGAGCGAGGCGCGGCGGCGGCGAGGAGCGGGAGGAGGGGCATGGAGCCGCCGCGGGCCTGCTGAGCACCGGAGCGCGGGCAGCCGGCGGCACGGTGAGCGCGGGGCCGGCCAGCCGGCCACACCGGAGGGGCGGGCCGCGCCGCGCGGGGGCTGCGCCGGGCTCCAGGGGTGCCGCTTGCCGAGCACCGCGGATCCCCACCGGCTTCCCCGGCTGCGCGGGCGCCGCGTGCGGCGCCGGCAGGCCGGCTGAGGGCTGCGGTATCTCCGGGCGCCCTGGCGGTGGTTCCTGCAGCCCCCTCCCCACTGACCCCTCCTCCCTTTCTTCCTCCATCCTGTCTTCCTCCAGCCTCTCCTCCCTTCCTCCCTTGCGGCTCCTGTTTTGTGAATGGATTAGGGGGCGGACGGCGGTGCGGGGCACGAGGCTGGTTGGAGTCTCTCCCTCCCCCACTCTCGCCTGGGGGTTCGCACCTGTCCGGCACTAAAATGACCAGCACTTGGGTCCCGGCGGGTCAGCCGGGCCACGGCCGCGTGTATCCTTGGGCCCGGTCTCCCCTTTCCTAGCCGGCTCGGAGGGGCGGCGAGGGTGGGTGGGCGGCCGGCCGGACGCAAGGGAAAGAGCACCAGCCCCGCGCACAAGTTTCCATCCCGCTGAGTGTGGGCCTCGTAGCAGGGCACACCTGTCAGCTGGAGAGGCTGCACACTGGCAGCCCCGCAAAGTTTCGGGTGTAGATTGGCGGCGTGCGTCCTTGGCTGAGGATTTTCTCCTTCCGTCATCTGGATGTGCAGGGGAAGTGTCTTAGGGAACTCCCCCCAACCTCATGCCCTTGAAGCCCGGGTGCGCATTATACTTACGGGGACCGAGCTCAAGAGGATCCCTTATGAGCGAAATGGGCGGGGGGCGGTGGATGAGAGGCGGTCTAGGCTCCCCTTCGCCCGCTTGGGTTGGCACGGCCCCGCGTCTGGGCAGGGGCGCCCCTTCCCACCACCTGATTGCTCCTGGGGTCTTTGGCTGTGGGACCTTATTGGTCCTCGGTGGGGTAGGGGGTGCCAGGGTAGTGCTTGCAATTCGTGTGCGGGGTTGGGGGTTCTGCCTGAGAAAGGAAGGGCCGGCGACATTGGAGATGCTGCCTTTGTCTGCAGGCACACTTTGCCAAGGTAACTAACTGGGGCCCAGAGAGATGAGCGGGGCCTGGTCCGACTGATTTCTTGGGTTTTCCGTTCCTTCCCCGTTGAGTCGTGGGAAACCGGCACGTGGGTGTGGCCGGCGCCGCCTGTGCCAGAAGGCGAGGCTCAGGCGGCGGTGAGAAGCCTTGGCGGGTGCCTTCCCGGCTGCATTAACCTGGTGGGCACCGCCTCCGACATTGCACCGAGGCGGGGCGCCAGCACCCGGCAGGTTGCTGGGCTGGCCTCGGCGCCCCCTGCCCTTTCCTGCAGCGCAGGTGGGCAGCGGTGCCGAGAGGCGCCCCTTTGGCATGTAAGGTCTAGAGGGCGATGCGGACGCTTCTGGAGTAGGTGCGGCCCCTGGGGTCCCCTGGGCAGCAGGCGCATGGCGGCGGGGGTGGGGCGCGCGGGGGGTGGGGGTGGCAGGGAAGGCTGGGAGTCCTGCAAAGGAAGCAGTCTCCCAGGGACGGCGGGGCTGAGCGCCTGGAGCCCGCGCTTCCCGAAGAGGCCAGGCTGCCAATAGCACTTTCCGGACCGCAGCTGCCGGAATACTGCTGGTGCCTGAATCTCGGACAGATTGAGGCAATGGCTGCGAGCTCCTTACCCATACTATGTGGCAGGTGGTAAGGGAACAGACACTGTTCCCCTGGCAAGAAGGTGCGTTTGTGTTGGGAGTGGGGCTCAGGGGTTGGTTCCAATAAGACCAGAGTTGGACAAGGTTGGAAGTGAGACCCCGTTGTCTGTGGTGGGTGGGTGGTGTTGGAAATGGGATTCTCCAGATTAGGCAGGTGGCAAAGAGAGTAGATGGGGAGAAGGCGCGGATCTGAATGGAGAGTGGGGAGCTGTGCTCATCAGACCTTCCCCACTTCCCCAAGTCAGCCTCCCCACTAGAGTAGTCCTTCAGGGCTCCAAGTGCTTCTAATTTCAGGGAGGTTGTTTACCTGAGACCTATGGCACAAGAAACCATTAGAATCCCTCTTAGTGGGGACACCAAGTCTCAGACAACTTGGGCAAGGTCAGGCGGCCAGGAGGCGGCAGAGCTGTGTCTCAAGCACAAGTCTTCCGGTGCTGAGTCCTAGGCTCTTTTCATTAAAACACAGCTGTTCCCAATGGGGCGCTGCTGGGAGCCCTGACTTCGCACAGACCAAAGCCAGCAGCATCCCCAGGAGTGGCAGGGCCTGTGGCCGAGCACAGTGGTGCCGTGCGGGCACTAGGACCGAGTGGATGGGGCTCCCCAGGCCGCCCCCCCTCCCAGGATGCTGCAGTGGTGGCTGCAGTTCCCTTCAGCACCCTGACTGCTGGGCTTCCAGGAGAGCTGTCCACACCCCAGCTCTCATTTCCTTTTTGTCCTTGTCTGCTTTTCCCTGGTTGCTTGCCCTTTCTTTCCTGCCTCTCCAGTAAATGAGAAAAAGGTGAGAAAGCAGAGGACACAGGGAAACTTTCTCTCATTTTGCTGTTTCAAGAAGGGAAGCTGCCTCCCCACCTCTTTATGTTTCCTCCTCTTTCTCCTCGTTGCCTCTCCTACTTTTTCATGGGCCTCGTTGGTGGTTGTGCTTTACTTCCCCTCCCACTTGTGGTTCCCTAGTGGGTACAGGGCAGGTAGAAGCTCCCAGCCACTGGCTACCTCCCTAGCCATGCTCCTCTTTGCTCTCCTCAGGCCCCTCATGTGCTCAGAGCAGCCTCTGGCCTCAGGCTTCCCCCCCACAAAAGCTTGCCTAGAAGAGCTTTGGGTCATGCACACCCCAAGAACGCCGTCCACCAGGTGGGGATCACCTAGCTCTTTCTGGCTTTGGTTTGTCTAACAATAATAGATGCTACTCTGAATGCTTTACATATGTAATCTGTTTAGCCCTTAAAGATGCTACAAGGTTAGAGCTGCAGTCCACACTTTACAGAGAAGTTAAAACTAAGGAGCAGAACACAGTGACACAGACATTAAGTGACAGAGCTGGGATTTGAACCCCAGTAGTCTGGCTTCTGAGTTGCACAAACAGGCTTAGTCATGTGCAGGCAGTGGCAGTGGTTTTTATTAGTGGATCATTTGCCCCGTTCTGGGCCAGGCCCAGAGAAAACGCCCCCAGTCCCATGGACTAGAAAGGCTGCCTTCTGCCTGACTCCACACCTCCCTCCTCCCACCAGATGCCGGTGCAGCTGACGACAGCCCTGCGTGTGGTGGGCACCAGCCTGTTTGCCCTGGCAGTGCTAGGTGGCATCCTGGCAGCTTATGTGACAGGCTACCAGTTCATTCACACGGAAAAGCACTACCTGTCCTTCGGCCTGTACGGTGCCATCCTGGGCCTGCACCTGCTCATCCAGAGCCTGTTTGCCTTCCTGGAGCACCGGCGCATGCGGCGGGCAGGCCGGCCGCTGAAACTCCCCTCCCCGTCAAGGCGCTCGGTGGCACTGTGCATCGCCGCGTACCAGGAGGACCCTGACTACTTGCGCAAGTGCCTGCGCTCTGCCCAGCGCATTGCCTTTCCTGACCTCAAGGTGGTCATGGTTGTGGATGGCAATCGCCAGGAGGACGCCTACATGCTGGACATCTTCCATGAGGTGCTTGGCGGCACCGAGCAAGCTGGCTTCTTTGTGTGGCGCAGCAACTTCCATGAGGCGGGTGAAGGGGAGACGGAGGCCAGCCTGCAGGAGGGCATGGAACGTGTGCGGAATGTGGTGAGAACCAGCACCTTCTCCTGCATCATGCAGAAATGGGGAGGCAAGCGAGAGGTCATGTACACGGCGTTCAAGGCTCTTGGCGATTCGGTGGACTACATTCAGGTAAGGGTGCCTTCCCTGAAGCATGCAGATGTCCAGCCAGCTGGGCCTCCTGTCCAGGGATGTTAGGTCCAGTTTAGGTCTCTTGGCCTGTGCACACCCCTCCTCTGCACTTTAGAAGGACAGATGCTGATAGGGTCAGCAGTCCTGGGGTCAAAAAGACCTGGGATGGAATCCTGGTTCTTCTGTTACTTAGCTCTGTGACTTTGGTCAGGTCTCTGGACTCGTATCACATTTCTAATCAGAGCAAATCGGCATACGCCATTTACTTCATACCACACACAGTTTTAGGAGCTTCATACACAGTTCTTTTAATCCTCCTAGTATTCCTAGAGGATAAGTACTATTATTATTTCACCCACAGAAGGTGAACCTGAAGCACAGGGAGGTTAAGTAACTTGCCTAATCTCACACAGCACTAAGGTGCAAAGACAGGATTTGAACCTAGGCAGTTTGTCTCAAGTCTGCCCTTATCTGTTGGGCTACACTGCCTCGCCACTGGTAACGTGGAGATGAGTCTCTCCATAAGAAGGTGTGGCAAAGAGTAAAAGAAATCCTGCTCCAAAGCCCTCAGGTATTTTTAGTTATGGGCCAAAAGTCTTCCTCTACCCAGGGTCAAATTTGCGTTTGTGAGGTGGCAGTGAGTCACCCCCCAGCTTAGTCCTCCAGCAGTCTCAGCAGGCCGGGACCCTGAACAGATCCAGCCTAGCTTCCAGTCAAAACTGTCATTGACGTGAGTCCGAAAATTTTATTAGGTTGACACAGTTTACATAGCTCCAATTTTCAAATAACAAAACCTAGAAAGAACTGATTGAAAGCTCACATTTCAGTACCAAGTAGAAACTGCACCCAGAACCCCAGAGTTTTGGTCTAGCATCTACACCGTCTGTTTCTCTGTTGGATTCCTTCTCTGCACATGCCACAGGGTTTCGCACACCACTTGAATAAATAGCGACTGTCATGGCAGCCCTCATATGTACCAACCCAGTCTTGAGGACAGCATGTTGAGGACCCTAATATTGAAATGCTCTGTGCGGTACCCACCTAAAATTAGCTTGCCACAGACATTTTGGTTTTGGCTTTTTTGAAATTTGCATCCTTTTTTGTCTTCCTAGGCCCAACGACCTCCTTGGCCTTGTAGGGAAGGATGTTGAGGCATTTGATTCTATGGTTCATCTAGGGTCAAGGGGCCTCTGAAGCTTTCCTGGAGACTCGGAGGGCACAGGAAAAGCCCCTGGGACACTGTCATCTGCTCCCTTGAAGCACAGAATTCCCCAAAACCTGCCACACATCTTCCTTGACTGAGCATTACTTGTGTGTTCTGGTGGACTGGCAAACAGGCTCACACACCTGAGGCTGCCTTTCCCTTTATGGCTCTGGGCTCACTGCCTGGGGTACCCTTGGCTTCCGTCACGTTTGGTGGATTCCAGCCTGTCTTCCAACAGCCCTGCTACGGGTGGGTCTTTCCCTGAGGGACACAGCCCTGCTTCAGCCAGTGGGGAAACCCAGGCAGCCAGGAGCTCTAACTACCCTAACCCTGCTCTGCTGGAAAGACCTCCCTGGAGTGAAGGAAGCTGAGCAGCAAGAAGAATGGATTAGGCTCAGGGGAGGAAGCAGTCTTGAACCCCGAACCCCACAACCCTGGAAAGCTTGGCCTGTAGGCTGAGGAAGCGCTGGGAGCCCGGCAGAGGTTGGTGGGGAGGCAGGAGGGAGCAGATGTGATGGCTCTGCCAGGATCCCCCTCCACCTTTAGCTGCTTGTCTGTAGCCACCATGTCCTCCAGCAGGCTTTGGGGGGGGGGGGAGCCCCCTTCCTGCAAGGTTAGCAACTTTAGTAAAAGGATTTTAGGCTTTTGCAAAGCAGAGTGTAGGCTCATCTGTGGGTATTGTTCCTTGCTCTGTTGTTCTGCCAGTGGTTATCTGGGCTCTATTAATTTTCTAGAAAAATAGTCAAGGAGCCAGCCACCCAGATGAGAGTTCACAGCTCAGGTTCAACTAATAACGAACGGAGCAACCTGTTAGAATCAGAGCATGAGTCCCCGTAGGGAAGGTGGACAAGTGGGCAGGATTTGACCTAGGCTCTGGTTGGAGGCAGCAGCTGCCAGCCTCCATGCTCCTCCAGAGTAAAGTCCAGCTGCTCTGTCAGGATGGCCAAGTGGCATAAGGCACCAGACTCCAGCTCCGGCTTCACAGAGAACGCAGGTGAGGACAGCCCTCAAACTGTGCCCTGATCTCCGTGACTTGGCTGAAGCAGCACAGAAGGCCTCACAGCCATATGAGTGGGGGGGGCCTATGCGTGGGTAGGTGCATCCTGCACATGGGCTGCAGGCTGTCCCAAAGCCGGAGGCTGAAACTGGGAGGAGCTCGTTAAGAATCCTAGGAGAGCGCTGTGGGCAGGAGCCTCTGGCAAGAGCCTTTTCTTGGCCTAATGTGGAGTGTCTGCCTGCCCTGGCCTAGCTACTGTACTGTCATCTGATTTCAAAATGTGTTCCTCCTTTTTCCCCAGGGACTCCGGGGCAATGTTTTGTGACCATTTTTGTGGAGCCTGGCTCTGTAGAAGCTCAACATTTGCCCAGTGCTAAGCCTTTCTCCCTTTCCGGGCCTGGCACCGAGTCTTCTGGGTTTGTCTCTCAGCACAGTGGCTGTCAAACCTGGTATCTAAACTCTCCTTCTCCTTCTTTTTGTTATTCCCTAGATCTCTGCTAGTGGTAGGAGAGGTGGTTATGTCCCTTCAGCACTGAGCAGCATGTGGTATATCACAGGCCTCAGGTCGAAATGCGCTGAATGCACTTCCCTTTCTACAGGTTTGTGACTCTGACACTGTGCTGGATCCAGCCTGCACCATCGAGATGCTTCGAGTACTAGAGGAGGACCCCCAAGTAGGGGGAGTTGGAGGAGATGTACAAGTAAGAAGTAATCAGGGATTCCTGGGGGGTGGGGCCTAGACTTTCTGCTTTCTAATGCAATGAATATGCCTGGAAAATGAGCATCCTGACTGTCTAGTATTTTGGAAGTGGGGGGGGGGGGAGGGTTCTTCTTTGGCAGTTGTCACACGTAGCAAAGGGCTCACTTGCTACCCAATCCCTATCCTGCTCTTTTTCAACCCAGGGAAGAGAACCACTAAGGTATGTAGAGCCTCTGCTGCTAGGAGGGGCTCAGTATCCTGAGGCTACTGATCACAGAGGGTGCTGCTTTTTTGGGCATTGGTGCAGCAAGCACCTCCAAAGTTTGACCCTTGAGAAAACCCTTGTTCTTAAGGAAGTTGCCCTGAATGGTTAAGAACGGGCCAGTATAGTTAAGAATAGGGGGCCAGATCTTCCAGAGGGTACTGCCGGTAACACACCAAGTCTTCCCGAGAAGCTTTCCAAGTGCAGAAGGGTCAGGGGAGGTGGCTGGGGTGATAGGCTGCATCTTTCTCAGGCTCTTCTGTCACTGTCCAGGTTGTTTTCTGAGATTGAAGGTGGCTTTTCTGAGATTGAAGGTGGCTTTAACTGCTAGAGCAATTTCACTGGGCTAGTCCGTGCACATGACAGTGAGAATGACTGGGTGTCGTTGGCTCCTTAGGTTTCTAGCTCTGGCTGGGTTAGGACTGAGAGCCAGGAATTTGAGCAATGGCATTCAGAACTCAGGGTAAGGAGGCTTCATGGTTTCTGGTGTCTGTCTCCTGGGGCTCATGTCCTCAGGTGAGGAGGCCCAGCATCTCCGGTTCCCTTGCAGATCCTCAACAAGTATGACTCGTGGATCTCCTTCCTGAGCAGTGTGCGGTACTGGATGGCCTTCAACGTGGAGCGGGCCTGCCAGTCCTACTTCGGCTGTGTGCAGTGTATTAGTGGGCCTTTGGGCATGTACCGCAACAGCCTCCTCCAGCAATTCTTGGAGGACTGGTACCATCAGAAGTTCCTAGGCAGCAAGTGCAGCTTTGGAGATGACCGCCACCTCACCAACCGAGTCCTGAGCCTTGGCTACCGGACTAAGTATACAGCGCGCTCCAAGTGCCTCACAGAGACTCCCACCAAGTACCTCCGGTGGCTCAACCAGCAGACCCGCTGGAGCAAGTCTTACTTCCGAGAGTGGCTCTACAACTCTCTGTGGTTCCATAAGCACCACCTCTGGATGACCTACGAATCGGTGGTCACAGGTTTCTTCCCCTTCTTTCTCATTGCCACGGTCATACAGCTTTTCTACCGAGGCCGCATCTGGAATATTCTCCTCTTCTTGCTGACAGTGCAGCTGGTGGGCATTATCAAGGCTACCTATGCCTGCTTCCTTCGGGGCAATGCAGAAATGATCTTCATGTCCCTCTATTCCCTTCTGTATATGTCCAGCCTCCTGCCAGCCAAGATCTTTGCCATCGCTACCATCAACAAGTCTGGCTGGGGCACCTCTGGCCGAAAAACCATTGTGGTGAACTTCATTGGCCTCATCCCTGTGTCCATCTGGGTGGCAGTCCTTCTAGGGGGACTGGCCTACACAGCATATTGCCAGGATCTGTTCAGTGAGACAGAGCTGGCGTTCCTGGTCTCTGGGGCCATCCTGTATGGCTGCTACTGGGTGGCCCTCCTCATGTTGTATCTGGCCATCATTGCCCGGCGATGTGGGAAGAAGCCAGAGCAGTATAGCTTAGCTTATGCTGAGGTGTGACACAGCCCCCAAGCGGAGTGGGAAAAGTGCAATGGGTAAGGGAGGGAAGGGGAATGGAAGAGAAAAGATGGGGTGGGAGGGAAGTGGTAGTGCTGTTTTAGTTCGTTAACAGTCCAAAGGACAAATCTGAAGTGCAAAGAATGGTGACTGAACTATGGTCTGGGGCAGTTCTGCTTAGAGGCAACACCTTTCCAGCTCAAGGGGTGACCTGTTTGCATGCCACCTGTCTGCTGGCCTCTGGGAAAGATCCCACTTCCTCCCCCGGGGATCCAAAGGAACCCAGAAGTGTGCTAAACCAATTTGTTCCCATCAGTGGCAACTTCTGATAGGTAAGTGGGCAATGACAGCCTATGGGAAGGAGTTCTCTTAGCCCATCTGAACACCACCAGAGGTGGTGGGAGAATTTGAGAGATCTGGGCTGGCTAGTAATGTGTCCCCCACCCTCACCCCCAAATCTAGCTATCAATGCAATACGATTGTGCCTGATAAAAGGCCCAGAAGCCTGATCTTTGGGCATCAGAAAACAGGGTCCAGGAATGGTGCTTGATCATGTGACATACTCCATTCCACATCTCAACATCCCAAGGATGAGCCAAACAAGCAAAGAGTTAGCACTGAACTGCTTTTAAGTGTGTATATATACATAATGTTAAAAATGAAAGTTTACCAGGAGGAACAAAGATTGGTGGTGGTGCTAAAGGCCCTGGGCTATATGGGAGCCTTAGGCTGAATGTATCTCACCTGAAAACTGCCTGACATTTAGATAAACTTGCCTGTCATCTCTGCTGGGGAGAAGAAAGGTTTTGGTCATCTACCAGGAAGATTAAACCCCCAACATGCTCAGAAAAGAAGTGAGGTCTTGAGTACTTGACCGTGTATGCTCCTGAATTCCTCTCAAACTCCGCTCTGAATCTAAGTCGGCCTCCTCACTTGGCTTTTTCTTCAAGGTGATGCAAGTCACCTCTTCCACCTTCCTTCTCACTGGTTAAGTTTTTCAAGGTAGCAACTGAAGCAGAGTCTGAACTTTCATAGGCCCCTCTGAAATAAGCAACCCTGTTCTCCTCAAGTGGGGAAAAAATGATTAGGAGCCTCTGAGCAAATTAGCTACAATCTTGGAAATGCTTGTACTGATTCCTTAGCAGCTGGGTAACGTGCATGACTTTCAGGCTACAGTTCTTGACAATCATGTCCAGTGAAAACCTTTTCATTGTTCCCTAAGTGAAGCCTCAAATCCAAGCTGGTCATCTTTGAAACTATTCTCTTCAGTGGCTTCTCCAGGGAGTTCTTCCAGCCAAGTTGTGGACAGTCATAATTGCATTTGCTTCTTTCCAGAAACCATACTCAGAGATGGAATTGGTTCCTAAATCCTAAGGTTCTTGCTTTCTCTCTCACATCCCTGAAGTCCTTTGATTTCTCTCTGCCTTTGCGGGGGGGGGGGGGGGGGGGGGGGGGGG